AATATACTGTATTATATTAATATAATATACTAATATATTATATTATTAATGTACATTAGTCGACATCCTGTCGACATAATAGGAAAAACTGTCTTTTTTTTGGTTATTTGGACCGATTTGGTCGACATTTCCGAAATATAGGAAATGTCGACCGAAATAATGTAATTGTTATATTACCATCCATTTTCATGTCGGTGAGCCTCAACATCAACATATGTCGGTCGACATTTGGCGACATTTGAAACCATGGAAGTGATCAAAAATCTCTATCACCTAGACAAAGGATTGAGAACCTCCCAGCAGGGTGGAGCTTCGTAATATGAATGTCGGGGATTTTTGGGGAGATATAAACCTCTCTTAAGGAGTGAAGGTCTGCAACTTCGGCTAACTCAGCTTCTCTTAAAGGTCTTCTGAAGTCTAAGTTCCAGACTTCCAGTTAAGTCCAAGAGAGGAAAATTGGGCACACAAGGCAACAGTAGCTTCTTGGGAAAGGGATAGGTTAAATAAGCAAGGGTAGGTATTGGCCAAAGTAGTATCCTGGTATCCCCCCACAATGATGCAAGATATTGCTGCCTCATTCTCATTGCTGGTGGAATTTCAAAAGTGGATTTTTCGTGCACAACCTGCTGGAACTATTGTAAAGAAGCAACTAGATTCCCAAGCCAGTCTCAGTTCAAAGGAGGTTTATGTTCAGGTGTCCTAAAGATTTGGAAGCTGTATTTTTGTTCCCTTCTTTCAATATTTTGTTGCCACTTCTCATTTATTTTTGTGTATCTAAGCTCTTTCTTAAACACTTTTGATCCAGTTGTGTAATTTAAATATTCTGATGTTTTGAAACTGCAGGTCATCAAGGTTAAAAAATGGAGGATTGGCCGTGCAAAAAAAAAAAAAAGAAAGAAAGACAAAGGGGGATTATTGCTTGCTGACAAGCTCACCTGTTGATATCGGTGCTCATTACTGTACAGTACTATATAGTACTAGAATTGCCAGGTTGACAAGGGATTATTTCTGGTATGCTGGGCTCTGGTATGAGTGCGGAGAAGACAAAGACAAGAGTGAAGGCATTAATTCTGGTATGCTGGGGCTCTGGTATGAGGGCAGAGAAAAAGGTGAGAGTGAAGGCATGAGCTTGCATTTTGGACACTAGTGATGAGTGTTTCTACCTACCTGACATTGCCCTTTTTTGTCTAAATGGAGACAAAAGGTTAACTTTGTAATTCAACACTCCTGGTCCATTCAAATTAGTGAAAAGGGTAAGTGTAATTTACCCCAAACATCAGGGGAGTTTTAAGTAGTTTACCCATAAAATTTTGGTGAGTTTATGTTGAGAATGATATATTGAATGAAGCATATCCAATGTGAATGAGAAGAAGAAATGAGATTTTTTTTACTTTTATTTTTTGAAAAATTGTGGCATCTACTATTGTAAGCTTTGCTTTGATGGTAACTTGGGGAATTTCTTGGTGAATACAACACTTAAAGTTTGGACTCTGGATCTTGGATTTGAAATACTGTTGAAGAAATTGAAATCCATTTAAATGCTGTTTAGAATTGCTCTAAAAAACTTTCCAATATGCAATTAGTGCATTTTTTTATGGGACATTGGAGAAACCATTGAGTGAAGAAGATGGAGA